TTCCTCTTCATAATATCTTCTAGTCACCGTCGTATAACAACTGCCAGTACTCCGGGTATTGGTGTATTCTTATACTTCTATTTTTGTTTATTTTATGGACATGATTTTTCCTTCTTAATATATTGATGTACTGATTTTTTATTATTTATTAATAAACATGTTCTGTACAATGGGACATGTCTTGCTTCGGATGATTTCATCCATGTTTTGAGCTCTTTGGTTGCATTGACTATTGTCAAAAACATCAGTACAGCCATGGCGAGTGTTATTACGACGGCATATGTTGTTGTTCTATGCGTCTCAAATGAAATAATGTAATAAAATGTATTGGTGTTTCTTGAAAATAATATCAATTAGATTTTTATACGTTTTGAATATCTATAAAGAAGATTTAGAGCAGAATAAATAAAATTTCCCAAATCGAACTTAGTTTGATTCCGTTCAGTTGTCGTAGCACATTTGTGATGCACATCATGATAGACTGCCTGACCTATGAGAAATTGAGTATGGGATCTGCCTATGGATGAGGTGGAGAGGGGGATGTGGCGGTGGTATGGCCATCTTTGGAATCGATCGGTACTGCTGTGGCGAGAGAAGAGTTCTCGTTTAGGAGTTGTGAGAGTATACGAGATCTCGGATTGCGGCCTGAACACTCATGAATTGAAATGCATGTAATGGGTATGCCGACGAGTAGAACCCATTTACATATAGTTTCTTAAATATATATATTGATTCCAATCCTATATAAATATATCAATTCCAGTCATATGTAATAATTTCGAAGCTATGTATCTACGTAATTCCAGCCCAATATAATATTTTCAAACTGATTTACCAATTGTTATCCTATCTACACAAATATTTGAAATTAGTTTTAGACTAATTTTGTAAAACATAAACATACTTTTTTGCAAATAGTTCAGCTAGACGGAGAGAAAACCTAGGTTGCATGAAAACTCCGTCTGAAGTCTGTTTTCTATTTTGAAAACGTTTTTTAAACATAAGCTTATAGAAAACGCAAAAAAAATACTATGAAAACACGTGTTTTAATATGCTCAATCTGGAAATACAATGGAAATGTTTAATTTCGTTTTGAAAATACGACAAAAACTTATTTTTATTTTTAGAAATGTAATAAATAAATAGATTATTAGTAAGAATTTTTTATTACTTTCGAGTTGTAAGGTAAACATTTTGATTTAGATCCAACGTGTTTCCAAAAACTTATTTTGTAGTGCAATATGTTTTTCGTTTAAAGTTTTAAACCAATTTACGATCAATCAGTTAACAGTCGATCGTTTCTTTTAGTTAACACTCGACCGCTTTTCTCTACTACTTCAGTGGAAAAAAAAAATGAATAATGTGTGTGATACACTTAACCATGATTGGTACTTAAATCAACTAATTTATGATATAAAGAAAATGATATTCCATTATAATGTTTCCCGGAAAAAAACCGTGATTTGCGGATGTTTCAACGTCAATTAGTTCAACATGGCTTTACTTAAGGCAAAAGAATTATAATTTCAAATAGTGAGACTGTACAACTAATAATATTATTCCAAAATTAAGTGGATTATTTTTTAAATCATAACATGGTACAAAAACTATTTGAATATATATATATATTTTTTGAAATAATCACAAGTTCACCAATCACACAACTCATTGCTAACCAGCTCATAAGCTAAAAAAGACAACTCATTTCTCCACTCTTTTGACAAAAACAGAACACCAAACATTAAACCCTTCA